TTGGTTTGAATGTCAGAAATCTCTGCATGTTAAACGAAGGGCGTTTACATTACTCCTTACAGTAATGATTCTGGACACGGAAGGAGGTTTATGAGATCATGGGAACCAGATTCACTCACCTCCCTAAGGGAGAAGTTCCTTCTGCCTTCACCAGTCTAGAGAATCCACTGGCAAACTAACTCCAACATGTGGGAACTCGGAAAATTTAGTTAATTGAATCTCAGATAAGTCGTGTAATCAACTAATAACTTTTGGAGGAAAGGGAGGAGCTGACCACTGACCACTGCATTCACACACAACATTCAAATGCGTGTTTTCAATTGGCGTCTGGTGTGAATTAGAAATAGATTGGCCCTTTAATTCGTGGGTTTCTCTGAATTAAAACTCTGTCTTCATATAAAAGAACCCAAATTCTTTTTTTGTCAGAAAAGGCTATAAAAAGGGAGGAAAGGAAAGGAAAGGAAAGGAAAGGAAAGGAAAGGAAAGGAAAGGAAAGGAAAGGAAAGGAAAGGAAAGGAAAGGAAAGGAATGAGGGGAAGTTACTTGAAATAGGAAGGAAGGAAGGAAGGAAGGAGGGAAGGGAAGGAAGGAGAAATGAGAAGGAATGAGGGGAAGTAAGTAAGATGAAATGGAAGGAGGGAAGGGAAGGGAAGGGAAGGGAAGGGAAGGGAAGGGAAGGGAAGGAAGGAAGGAAGGAAGGAAGGAAGGAAGGAAGGAAGGAAGGAAGGAAGGAAGGAAGGAAGGAAGGAAAATAGAAAGGGAAGGGAAGGCATTTTTAAAGCTAAATAAGATTAAACCATTCACATTTCCTTCCCTCCCTTACCAATGTCTCCCTTATCAACACTTCCTAAAGCCCGAGCTGTCATTTTAATTGATCCCTTTCTTAAAACCTGTTACTAGTCCTCAAAGGACCAAGAATTTTTGCTCTGCCCTGCCTGAAAGAGCTTACTGTTTTTTTTTATTTTAAAAAAAAGGTTGTGTAATTGGTGTGGATTTCTGGTTGACTTGTGTGATTGTTCAAGAAGTTTACAATTGTCCCTTGCCAAGGCAGTTCAAGAAGCCAAGAACACCATTCTCCTGGCCACGGCTTTTCCACGCCCAAAAGCAAATACGGGTCTTCAGGAAAGGCCCCCAAAGCAGGTAGCTCAGCTGCTCATTTTGTGTCCCAACAAAGGATTAGAACATTCTCTTTTTCTAACTTGTGTTTATCGTAGTTTGCTTTCAAGATTTCAGCAATAACCACAAACTTTTGCATTAGGGATGCGTGTGCAGGCAATTTCACGAAGGATGTGATTGAAACCCACCCTTTAATTCTCTAAACGTGTCACTTGCACATGCCTAGCTTTAAATGGCAAATTAATACACATTTCCAAACTCAAAGCATCTCAACTCGGGCACTTTATTTTATTTATTTATTTTTAATGAAAACTGTGGTGGGAAGAGAGTTCCCCCCGTAAGCCTAAAATGGATTCAGCAATTCCTTTTTCAACTCAAAGGAGCTGGTGGGGTAAAGTCTTCCCTGGGTAAAAAAATTGGGGAGAATCAGAACCATGTGACCGCTACTATCCACATGAATGATGCCTAAATTGTGCCCTTTAAAGGAATTTATTCCCCTGCCACCCCAGAGTAAGTAGAATTAACTCCAGCTCACTGTCATGCCCCTGTTGGAGTCTGACAGAAAGAGAGAGAGACAGAGAGAGAGAGAGAGAGAGAGAGACAGAGAGAGAGAGAGACAGAGAGAGAGAGAGAGAGAGACAGAGACAGAGAGAGAGACAGAGACAGAGAGAGACAGAGAGGAACAACCAACAGGGAGTGGAAGTGTGGCTCGAGAGGTTGTGGAGGAAACTGGCCAGCTGGGCAATGAGAGGAAGACCCAGGCCCATCCCCTCTTCATCCTAGGGCATGCAAGGAGGAAAGGATAAGGGAGAAACATGAATGGGTGATCTATAGGGGAGGAAGGGGCCCTGATCCCCTTCATGGGCTGCAGCTGTCAGGACTGTTTATAAGGACAAACTGTGCATGGCCCAATGCTGGAAGCCAAGGGTGTTTTATTGTTGTCAGAACTTATCTGTGTTTTGGCTTCCTCCAAACTGGAGTGGCTGCTTATCTGGTAGAAGTCTGCAATTAATCATCAGCGCCTGCCATAGTAATTTCTTCAGTGTGTTTTGTGTTGGTTTTTTTTTTTTATTTCGAATTAACTTTACTTTGGGTGCGGACTGCATTTACTCCCTTTGTAAACTGTTTTCTTTAAGAGTTTGATTTCCAGGATAATTGGACATTAGGACCAAGTTGGAGGCATTAAAGGAACTTTCTTCGATTTTTGTGACTTGGTTATTTTTTTGTCATGCCCCGGGTCATCGCACTCACAATCATTGCGCAATATAGATAGCCCTTGCGACTTACGTCCACTTGTGCAGCGGCCGAAGTTGCAACAGCACTGGGGAAAAAAGCGGCAAAGCTGGTTTTTCACATTACAACAGGTGCAGCATCCCCATGGTCACGTGATCAAAAATTGGCGCTGGCAACTGGCGTGTACTTATGACCGTTGCAGTGTCCTGGGTTCGTGTGCTTTTACAACAGGAAAAGACAACGGGTGAAGCCAGATGGACTTAACAGTCAGGTTGCTCATTTAAGCAACCGCAGTGATTCACTTAACAACTTGGTCAGACAGGTCGTAAAATGGGGCAAAACTCACTTAATGACTGTCTCCCTTAGCAATAGGAATTTAGGGCTACATTGCGATCTAAGTCAAGAACTATCTTTGAAAGTGATCACTCCTTAGGGAATCACCAGTTGTATTCTGTGGAGTTCACTCCTGGCAGCCCAGCCAGGCCTGTTTGGGAATAAACCACCCCAAATCTTGCTTTTTGGTATATGAATGTAACTCTCTCAGGACAATTTTGGGGGCCTTGTGGTCTTACTAGGGCTGCAACACCCATCATCCTTGGCCTGCTGGCTAGGCTTGATGGGAGTTGGATTGGAGCGCCAGCAGGTTTTTTTTCCCACTTGAGACCCTTCCTGCTTTTTCAAACCGCAGGAAAACTCTGCTCATATTTTCTTTCTTTTGCTCCACAAACTGAAAAAAATAAATAAAAAAGAAACTCTCAGGCAGCGCGGATGATGGGAGCCAAAGTCCAAAGTAACAGTAGGATGGGTGGCTGGTCTCGTGGGACTGCAAGTCCCATCATCCCTTGCCATTACACCAGAAATGTTGGGAAAGGCAAATCCCATCGGAAGAGGCTGCGTTACTAAGAGAAGGGGAAATTGCGGGCTAGGGTTCTTTTCAAATCTTGACAGTCCTTTGGTCTCTCCAGAGCAGCCTACCTCGCGGGGAGGTTGTGCAGGTGGCATGGTCAGGAGAGAAAAGCACAGTTATTGACGTTTGCACACGAAGTGGAGCTCTGTGCAACCAGAACTGGAAGCTTTTAACCAGAAATCACTCCCATAAATCCTCCCAGGTCCATTGCATTATGTTAGAGAAAAGAGAAACACGATCTCCCCTCTCGGAGAGTTTACCCAGAAGCTGTGATCTGCCATCTTCTCATCCCAGGGTGATCCATCGGTCCTCCCTCTAGAACTCATCCACAAGCATCCACACCTAAACTCCAGTTAGGCCACAGAACTCATCATGCATTTTGCCCCAGGTGCGAAACCACAAAGCAATCAAACCCCAGAGTGGTTTTTGCCCGTCTTGAGAACAATCCCAGTCTCTGTGGTTAAATGGTGGTTTGGTGAGATGTGCAATCCCAGCCAATGGAATGTTGTAGAGTGTCTGGTTTATGAAAGATTGCCAAGGGAGGAAGAGGGAGGTAGAGTGCGAGGGAGGAAGGAGGAAAAAATAGGGAGGAAAAAGGGAAATGGAGGGAGGGAAGGAGGGAGGGAGGAAGTGGAAGGGAGGGAGGAAAGAAAGGTGGAAGGGGAAGGGAGGAAGAGAAGGAAGGCGGGGAGGGAGGGAGGAAAGAAGGGAGGGAGTGTTTGAGGAAGGAGGGAAGGAAAGAAGATAGGGGGAGAGCAAGGGAAATGGAGGGAGGGGGGGAAGAGAAGGAAGGAAGGAAGGAAGGAAGGAAGGAAGGAAGGAAGGAAGGAAGGAAGGAAGGAAGGGTGCGAGGGAAGTTAGGGAGGGAAAAGGGAAAGGGAGGAAGGGAAGGAGGGAGGAAGTGGAAGGGAGGGAGGGAGGGAGGGGAAGGGAGGAAAGAAGGACAGAAGGGGAAGGAAGGAAGAGAAGGAAGGAAGGAAGGGTTCAAGGGAGGAAGAAGGAAAGATAGATAGGGAGCAAGGGAAGTGGAGGGAAGGAAGGGAGGGAAGGGAAGAGATGAATGGAAGGAAGGAAGGAAGGAAGGAAGGAAGGAAGGAAGGAAGGAAACCTTTCTAAAAGTTGAAGAAGAGGTAGGATGACCAATGCAGTAAAAGTTATTCTGCTCAAGCAGCTTATCTTTTTTTCCCTCTCCTGAAGCAAACAGCAACCTGAGCATTCACTTACTCAGGAGTAAAACAAGCTACCAAGTCAAAGATATTTGCCTGCTTCAAGCAAAGCAACCAATATAAACTCCCCTTCCTTTCCCCAATACGGCAAACACACACACACACTTCCATTCCCCTAGTATCCCAAAGGCCTGGCTGGCCTCAAGTGAAGCTTGGCCTATTCAATGCAAGTTGGACCCGATCAAGCGGTGATCCTTACTGGATTTCAATGGGATCCCAGGAGAGATCCCGGCAGACAGATCCGACATACCCCTTTACTCGGATATTAAAATCCATTCCATCCAACTCAACACCACCAGTCCTCAATCCTAAACTCCATCCTCAAATTAATTCAGGAGTTTCCTACGGCCACCCACCCCAAGGAAGAGAGCTTGCAAATTAATGGCTGGAAAAGTAGACTAGACACCCCTCCCAAGAGACATTTTACCTGAAAGTCCCATCCAAGTTCCACAAAATCTATATATCTAAAAACGAAATACCACTCACACATCGTCACAAAATCTCCAGAATCATAAAGCCTAACAAACTTGAAATTGGGCACGTATGTTCCTCTTGGCTTCTAGGTGCTCACTAAGAAAGGATTTTGGAAATGACCACCAGAGCATTAGTGTTTCCTATATTATTATTATTATTATTATTATTATTATTATTATTATTAACATGCTCTGATGCTAAAGAGTTCTACTCCCCACCCACCTGCAAAACACAAGCAGAGGAGAGGAGTTTCAGTTTCAGTTTTAGTTTCACAGCACCAAGCTGCTTTAGCAAAGAACAGTTGAGCTAAGCCACGCCCAGTCTCCTTGCTGTCTCCTTGCTCACACAGCAAATACTGTTTCAGTTTCCAAACAGCCTCAACTCTCTGACACACTGACAGGACGCGAGGCAGATGGATACCCGATGGGTGCTGGTAGGCAGAGGCAGAATTTTTTTTTTCTCCTTATTTTCCTCCCCCCAAATTAAGCCCGATCACATAGTTTCACAGTGAAGCACGGGTATCCAACTAGTAAATAAATAAAACAGAATTAGAAAAAAGACTCTCTTTTGGGGGGGCTGAGTGGCACTCATGAAATGCAAACCTCCCCAGTAAAGAGAAGACTTCCGTTTATGCGAAACTCGTGTCCTGTCCTCCTTGGAAATGCTTTGAACCCAGAAGTTTGAACCGAACGAATTCTTGCTTTTCTGGACTGGATCTCTTTGATTTGAAAGCTGAAGGGAACTTTTTCTCCCAGATGGTGGGAAGAAAAAAAAATAAGAATCAGGTTGGTTTGGCAGCTGAAATGGAAACAAATTGGCTCTACCCTTCCTTGCCCCCCAGTTTAGCCATCCGCCTCTGACCATTGTCTGAACTGCCTTTTTTTTTTTAAACCTCCAAACCGAACTGGTTCCTCGACCTTTTTGCAAACAAACAAGACTGGCCTGTCTTTCTTCCTTTCTCTTAAAAAAAAAAGGAAAGAGCATATTTAAGAATGTCCTTCCTAAATTAAGGAAGGAGGCCGCAGGCAATTGGGGAAAGCCGCAAAAGTCACACACACACACACATACCCAAAGCGGGCCTCCTTTAAAAAAAGGGAAGAAGGAAACTCCAGGGAACCCTCGACTTACATCCACGATTGAGCACAACATTGGTTGCTAAGCGAGACACACATTAAGTGAGTTTGGGCTTGTTTTTACCACCTTTCTTGCCCCCCCCCCCCCCCCCGGTTGTTCAGCTAATCTGGTAAATTAATCCCACGGTCATTAAGTGAATCTGAGCTTTCCCGTTGACTCGGCTTGTCAGGTGGTCATAAATGGCGTCCGGGAACCCTGCAACCATCATAAATATGAGTCAGTCGTCAAGCCTCTGAATTTGGATCCTGTGAGCATAGAGAAGGTGCAACATGGCCGGGTCGTAGGTCTCAGGTATGAAGAACAGCCATAAATTCCCCTTTTTTCAGCTTTGTAACTTCGAATGGCCATTAAACAAACCGTTATAAGTCGAGGACTGCCTGTACTTGCCCGTAGAGGTTTAGGGGTTTTTTTGTTTTTGTTTTTAAACAGGATTTCAAACCATTGGATTCTGAGCATGTACTGCGCACACACAACACACACACAAAACCACAAACACACATCATTTGAAAACCGACTTCTGATGAAGTTCAGGAAAAGCTCTCCCCCTTTTTTGGGGGGGGAGGGGGAGATGGGAAAGCCATAAGTAGCAATTTGGGGGATGCCAGAAAAGAAAAAAGAGAGAGAGAGAGAACTGTGCAAACCCCTGAATTCCAGCTGCAGAAAATCTACAAAGGGGCAAACTTGGAACAAACTTCGTGGAAAGTTTTGCCAAAGGCTCGGGGCATTTGTGGTGGGGGTGTGTGGCTGGGGGTGGGGGAAATCCAGACAGGACATGCAAAGAAGGGACCCCTGGATATGGATACCCAGCTGAGCGCCCCGCTTAAAGGAAGGTCGATATCTCGGGCAAGTTGGTGAACCAAGTTGGTCGGTCGAGTGAACTCTCTCCATTTCTCGGTTGATTTCGGAACAGCGGGCTGGACTCTGCGGGAATTCTTCAGAAATCTCGAATTGCTTTTGGGAAAACTTTGCTACTTCGCTTTTCTTTTTCTCCCTGGCTTGGGAGAGAAGGCCCGTAGGCGGCGGTGTTGCCTTCCCAATCTGGATTGCAGAGGCCCCCTTTCTGCCTCACTTTTCGATCCTTTTTTCTAAACATTTTGGGATCCCAGCCGATCCACCAATCAAATATATGCACTCCGCGGGTGATGAAAGGAGTTTTTTTTGTGGGGGGGGTCTCTGAGCTTGGTTGTTTTTTTTTTCCCTGGCAGACGTTTCATGACCCAAACTGGGTAACTTCAAGACTGCACAAATTGTTACCTAGTTTGTGTGATGAAATAAATGTCTGCAAGGAAACAACCGAGTTAAGTTGGAAGTAAAAAATTGGACGGGATTTAAGTTGATGTTTCGGTG